AAATGGAGGGAAATGCACCAGCGGATTGGTTAGCTAAATGTGGTTTTTTTGGTGTCTCTAATGTTTTAGTGTCTCCCATGGAGCTTAATATACTTTTAAGGGGAGACTCTTTATGTCAGATGCTTACCATGATATGGCTTATGGTCTCCTTTCATCCCTAAAGGTTTTCACTGTCTATCTTTGGGGGAGGATCTTCTGCTCTATTAATCCTCATGTTTTTGCAGTTCTGCTACTCCTGACGAGAATAGCCTCTTTCAGCTGATTATTTTAAATTTTGTTATACCACATTTCTCTCCTTTTACTTACTTTTCAATTTATTTTGCTACAGTTTCTTTCTTTAATTTGTTTCTTAGGTATACATGTTACTATCTTTTGGAGCTTTTGGGTGCGTTGTCTACTGGGGGAAAGATTATACTTTCTAGACTTTTCCTAACCCACTTTGTTGTCCTCCCTTCTCTTATTCTATAAAATCCCGTTCGGGCTTTTGCAAAAAAAAAAAAAAAAGGATTATACTTTTTCGGCATCATTAGCCACGTTAGTAAGATTTTCAGACTTCTTATGAGTGAAGGACTAAACTCAGACATACTGAGTTGGAGTTGAATCAATTGACTATTATCCTTTGGCCACATGCAGTCCTCTATGAAGGTGATCCACTTCATTTATGTTCATGGGAATTGTTTTTTGCCTAGTTTTTTCAATATCTTGTAATGTGACCAGGCTGATAACGTCAGTGGCATATGTTAGAGCCCCAAAAGCATTCTTACACTTATGCTTCTTTTCACATTTGCTTTTGATTCTATCATACTATGAGTCTTGTTGCTTCTAAATCCACCCAAGCTAAACTTAGACGTCTTTCTATCGGATTCTCTTTGATTGAATCATGTGTTCTCCTTAATTGACAATCTTCTTTCTTTGCATTTACCTATGCATCCGGGTAAATTGAAAATCAATCTCCACTCGCGTTGCCCACTCCACTAACGTTAGATTGGCTAACATTTACTTGATTTAATCATTCAATCCAGAAAGGAACCAATAATACTTTTCTTTAGTTAATATAAGTTGTGCATATATTGTGAGTGTAGTGAACTTTGCTTGTACTGTATGATTGTCCTCTTTCCTTGTACCAACATGATCAACATGCTCTACATTTTTCTTCATGTAGATTGGGGCACAAATCACTCTCTAATAGGTTTAACAAAATCCTCTCAATTTAGCATCATAATTGGTATTTTCCCAAGCATGTAATGAGGATACCTACGCCACCATCTTTTAGCCTTTTCATTCAGAATAAATGTAGCCAGTGGTACACTCCTTTCATCCGGGCAAGCCATATTGTCTAGTATCTTTTCTATCCACTTTAGCTAGTTCTCTTTTTCAATTGGTATCTTCTGTTCCATTGAACAATGATGGTCGTAGATATTGAAATATCTTCAAATACTTGTCCACAACCATAATATCAATCTCACTAGACTACAATCTAGAGTCTTGAATTACTTGCATCATCTCCGACATCATTTAGCAAGAATATTAGTGTTTACAATGATAATTTTGGTAATTCTTCATTTTCTATTACATTTCCTTCTTCCACATTTTTGGGTGCATCCATTTACCCGAACTGAATAGTTACCTAATTAGAGTTAACTTTCAATTTATAATCATTATTAATTTTCATAATTATCGTATTGACTCTTTTATCATGATTGCATTACATAATTCTAAATATTGTTATTTGATATCTCTTTTGCCACAACACGACCTGATAACTTAGAATTTTTATGACTGAAACAGATGGTCAGATGGAGAAATTTAAAATTTTTAGTATACTTTCTACCACTAGCAGTTTATAATACTAATAAATTGATAGAGTCATTAACAATTAAATTAATCTAACAATTAGATAAATATGAGTATAATAATCTTTCTCTAGCTTTGATGCATCTTCTATAAATGTTCATTCTCGAGTCACTCATCTTCTAATTACAAGTCTAAGCATGAAAATGTTAATTTGATACCAATAACTTAATGAGATGCTCATATTTTAGAAGTTATAGTAATATAAAGGAATAAAAGATTTAATATGTATGTTAGTTATGATTCACTGGGTTAGTATCAATTTGTTTAGTCATTTAAGTGTGACAGTATGGAAGTTTCAATTAATTTCAATAACTATATTATATATTATCTATATCTTTTAATATAACTTTCATCACAAGAACATTGTCTAAATTGTACCCATTAATTTAACTTCAATATCATTAACTTTTTTCAATTTATGTGCACATATACCGTAGTCTCCCCCACTAGTACCAATCACAGGGTAAATTCCATCATATTAAAAATGCACATGCAAGCAAACTATATAATTTATTTTATTCTCATATCTATATCATTAAGTAATTTTCTATAATGTTTTTTAATATATGAAATAAATTTCAATATACTTAGATCTCTATAACCTGCATTTGATATATGACCAATATCATCTATACAGCAGATTAATCGTGAGTAAATATGCAAAGCCAATCTATTTGAGCATATCTATACTAATTAAAATGTTTGATTTAGAGAAAATAAATAGTATTACAATAATATTGGAAATAAGTGTACTCACTAAAAAAATACATTTATAGTTATTATTCTTCAATTTCACCTATGTCGTCGATATCAAACTCTTGTATTTATTCCTACAAATAAAACCCAAAATAAGATATGCATATTTTCAATTTAAATATACTTTATTTTCTTTTTATTGTAAATCTTCCGTTTTGTCTAACAAAATTTATAATTACTAACATGAGCTGAAATTTTTAAAGTCAACTATGTCCAATGTAATCTTATTGAAACGTGTTTATTGTTTTTATCATCATCGTTATCATCATCATTATTATTAATTTATATGTACAATTCAAATATAATATTATAAATCATTTGATTTTGTTTAATTAATAGAAACTTAGTAATAATATTTTACTATTATATATTTTTTTCCGCCAAAATAGAAATTTCATTAATGAAAAAGATGATACAAAGGTTTTAGTGAGCGGGGGCTAGGAGCCCACTCACAATACGTTACTATTATATATATATATATGTAAAGGAATGGACAAAAGCTATTATTCGAGTCTCGGCCATCTCTCATGTGCCTAAGAATTCGAGTACCACCCCAACACTCGAGGGGAATCGAACCCCATACCAAATGGAACTTACAACTGACAAGCAGATGCCCGACCAACTGATTTGAGTACGCGAAGCATATATATAACGCGAAGCATATATATATATATATGCTATATATATATATATATATATATGATAACCTCTCATTTCATTTTTTAAAGTTTTTTATTGTTTCCCTAAATTATTTTAATTCTATTAAATTTTAAAGTTGTTTTCAAAATTTTAAAATTTTTTATTCAAACTAATTTATTTAATGAATTTTCTAAATCATGATCAATATCTAATTTTCATCATTAATCGAAGCTTTAAAAAGAAGATAACAAATTTAACACCAGGTTAGATTCTGTGAAAGTACTTGATTATGCTCTCTCCTCTGGATATACAATTTTTTGGGATGTTTGTATCTTTCTCTGTTTACAATGCTTCATGCAGATTGTGATAGAACAAGTTTTCCCCAAGCCTCTTCATTATTCGTTATTTGTTACAGTTTCTGTTTCATAAGACTCAGCTTTATTTCTAGAGATAGTGACCCAAATGATAACCATATTTCATGCTATAATATTATTTATTGTCAGTATTCTTAACCTGCTCGAATAGCTACTTCTATCTCTGTGCCACTAAAAATAGAACATTTATCCCCATGATTCTAAGATATTCTTCATATTATTATTACTTTCTCTTCCGAATATATGTATATATATATATATATATATATATATATATATATATATATATATATATGTATGTATATATATGTATGTATATATATATATACATATATATATATATATTTGTTGTTCTGACTGATTTATTTATTTATTTATTTATTTTTGGTAATAGCGATATTGGGATTAATTTAGGTGCTAATAGGATTTTACGTGTGTTGCATTTGACACTTTTTATCTTTCCCGGTGATGTATTTTTGAAACTAAGCAGCTCAAAATATTATAATTTTGCCTTAGTTCAGGCTGCAGGCACTTCAAGTGAATGCCCTTTTTGGCTTGAACAACGTACCAACATGATTTCTTATTCTCTTTGCATGTTTGTATGGTGCATAATAGATTTCACAAGTATGGGAAACAGTAGTTTTCCGTGCCTTGAAAGTGTTTAGGATATACAAATGATAGCATGTCTCTTTCCATTTAACTTACGGATAAATGAATGACTATGATTGAGAATATTAGAACGCGTGAATGAGGTGAATCCTACGAGGATGGGTGGTAGGCTTAGCACTATGTTTTGTTTTTTTAGAACTGTCTTCTGTTATAAGGTTAATTGAAGCATTAAAATTTTTTTACTACCAAATATTTATTTTTTTATTTTAATTGATGCCCTGTTTGAAAGTTGCTAACATCTACCTCAAATATTTTGGTTTTGATGTTTTTATTTCATCATTCCTTGTATGTATGGTAGAACTTGAAGGTCTCCACCATAAGCAACTATTTATTTCCATTCACATGCAGATTGTTGAGAACATTCATGCTGTAGTACTAACTAGAAATTTAAAAAGGAGAAAATTTATGTATGAATATTCTGATTCAAACTTGATTTGGATAAATTTTAGTCATTATATTTTTTTGAGACCTGTGAAATATATTGCTAATCGATCAACTTGTATTTTATACTTATCTTAAAGTAAACCTAATGATTAAAAAAGTCATCTTGACCAAATTTGCGTCATGATATCTTGAATCAATTTTTTTTTCTGTTTAAAACAGTTATTTTGATCGTTTTAGAATTATTATAATAAGGAATTAGTAACTAGGAGTAAGTAGATATTTATTTCATTAATCTTTTCTCTGCTTGCATTTTATTTTTTTCAGGGATTTGCTGCCTGCTTATCCTCATCTACGTTTGGTCAGTACAGCAACTTTTTCATTGATTACACCTTTTACCAATTTTAGTTCTGAATAAATTAATTCTAATCATTTTAGATCCAAATTTCTATAGAATTTTCTAGGATTGATGATTGCTTTATATTTTCTGTTCAAGCTAATAGATTCTCATGAGCGCCACGATTGATGTGGAGCGATTTTCACAATACTTCAGTGGCTGTCCTGTCATTCAGGTTCCAGGATTTACATACCCTGTAAGAATCACTTACATCAGTTTCTTAAATGTAATTTTGGCCTGTCTTGATAAATATTCTTTATTTGTAATGTAAAAGTTTTGATTTAGGTGAAGACTTATTTTTTGGAAGATGTGCTATCTATTTTAAGATTAACAGATGAGAATCACTTATTTACTGCTGCCCTTAGTAGCGTGGAGGAGGTTGTTCCATTAACAGAAGAGTACAAGACCGCCCTTGATGAGTCAATTAATTTGGCTTTATTTAATGATGAATTGGAGCCTTTACTGGAAATAATTAGAACCCAGCAAAACCCCCAAGTTTTCTCCTACCAACACTCTTTGACTGGAGTGTCACCATTGATGGTGCTTTCTGGCAAAGGTAGAGTTGGTGATGTTTGTATGATGCTTTCATTTGGTGCCGACTGCTCTTTGACTAACAATGAGGGAAAGTCAGCCATGGATTGCGCTCGGCAAGAAAATCAGCTCCAGATCTGTGAAATCATTGAAAGACACATGGAAAAAGATGTGTCCAAATCAGCCGAAGAGGAGGACCTACTGAACAACTACCTAGCAAGTATCAATCCTGAAAATATTGATACGGTTCTAATAGAGCGTTTGTTAAAAAGGATATGTACCGATTCTAGTGAAGGGGCTATCTTAGTGTTTCTTGCTGGATGGGCTGATATCAATCAAACTAGAGAAAGGCTACTTGCTTCAGGGCTTTTTAAAGATTCCTCAAAGTTCATGATACTTTCTCTCCATTCCATGATTCCAATCGTAGAGCAAAAGAAGGTTTTCAAGCATCCTCCTCAAGGCGTCCGAAAAATTATTCTTTCTACGAATATTGCTGAGACTGCAATTACTATTGATGATGTTGTTTATGTTATAGACTCTGGTCGAATGAAAGAGAAAAGCTATGATCCTTACAGCAATGTATCAACATTCCACGCTTCATGGATTTCAAAAGCTAGTGCTAAGCAGCGGGAGGGGCGTGCTGGTCGTTGCCAGCCGGGAATTTGTTATCATCTCTATTCTAAAGTCCGTGCTGCTGCTTTGCCAGATTACCAGGTTCCAGAAATTAAACGAATGCCAGTTGAAGAATTGTGTTTGCAGGCAAGTTTGTGTTCACCTTCCATTGTTCTTGCTCAAACTTCTATTTATGTTTTAAGTAGTTTGCTTATTTCATTGCTTTTTTTAATGGCAGGTTAAACTGCTTAATCCAAATTATAGTTTAATTGAGTTCCTTCAGAAAACCTTGGACCCTCCTGTCATTGAGACGATAAGAAATGCAGTCATTGTTCTTCAAGATATTGGAGCCTTAACCGAGGATGAACAGCTTACAGAACTCGGGGAAAAACTTGGTGCTCTTCCTGTTCATCCTTCAACAAGCAAGATGCTTCTGTTTGCTATCTTGATGAATTGTCTTGATCCAGCTTTAACTCTAGCTTGTGCCACTGACTACAGAGAGCCCTTTCTTCTTCCAATGGATCCAGATGAGAAAAAGAAAGCAGGTGCAGCCAAAGTTGAGCTGGCTTCATTATATGGTGGTTACAGTGATCAACTTGCTGTTGTAGCAGCATTTGAATGTTGGAAGAATGCAAAGCACAGCGGTGAAGAATCACAATTTTGCTCCAGGTATTTTGTTTCATTAAGTACCATGAATATGTTACAGAACATGCGAAAACAGCTTCAGAATGAACTTATGAAGGCTGGCTTTATTCCTGAAGATATGTCTGGCTGTAGCTTAAATGCCCAAGACCCAGGTATCTTGAGAGCAGTGCTCGTGGCTGGAACATATCCAATGGTGGCAAGGTTTCTCACTCAGAAAAAAAATAATAAAAGTGCAATTGTGGAGACTGCTAGTGGTTTTAAAGTTTTTTTGCATCCTCATTCCTCCAATTTCAAATTGTCTTTTGCAAAATCTGCTGTCAGTCCAATTATTGTCTATGATGAGATAACTCGTGGGGATGGAGGCTTATTTATAAAGAACAGTTCTGTTGTTTCGCCTTATTCATTATTATTGCTTGCTGTGGAGATGGCTGTTGCTCCTGCACGTGAAACATATGGGGACGGTGAGAAGGATTCAGACACGTCAAGTGGAGAGGAAGAAGATATGGATGTGAAAGCATCATCAGAGCAGCATAAAAACCAACTCATGTCATCTCCTGATAATGCTGTCACGATTGTTATAGATAGATGGTTAAAATTTTCTTGGACTGCTCTTGATGTTGCCCAGATTTACTGCTTGCGTGAGCGATTAGCAGAAGCTGTGCTGTTCAAGGTTAGATATCCTTTTTATCTATTGAATTGATTATCTCACAAAGGAAAATACTTCTTTTTTCTTTATAAAGCAAATCTTTTAGTTCTCTAAATCTCCACATGATTTGCATGTTACTCGTGATATTATATATTTTCTAAACTCTGAAACCAGTTTTGTTTGTATGGAATTGTAGGTGAAGAAACCACGGGCAATTCTCCCGCCGGCACTTGGAGCCTCCATGCATGCAATTGCTTGCATCCTCTCATATGATGGGCACCCCCACATATTAGCTTTAGATGAATCCATTGATCCTCAGGAAGCAATGTGGGAGCCTACTGACTTGAACATACAGAGTCGGGAAAGAAAAGTTGGAGCGGTCACTCCCAGTAGATACTTGAAGTCACTGTTTTCGAATTATGGCAGGCAAACCTCAGTAAACTTTAACAGGCTCCATGTATCGGCTTCCCCGCTCATGTCAATGCCTGCTTCTACTTCCTCCGCACCGAAGGTTCCTCTGCCGAGGATAACTTCTGCAAAAGCTCGAGATCATGGCAGTCATCCTATTCCGAAGAAAAAATTATTTAAACGCCGCCGAGGTAAGTTGGGAGGAGCACCCAGGTGATGACAACAGGCCATGCGGGCTGAAGCTATTTCTCGTGGTTTCTTTCTTTGGCATAAGATGCTGCATGTACGCCTCTGTGTATTGTAATGCCGTTGGCTTATGATGCTACTTAACGTCGTCAAGGGTTTTGGATCTGAATGACCTTTTTCTGTTACATAATCTTCCTAAGATAAGAAATTAGGCTTTTTGATTTTAAATAGTGCGTCAATTGGTTGCAAGCTTCTTCTTTTTTTTAATCTTTTATTTTTTATTTGTGAGTTTATTTTTCTTGTTGAGCTTTCAGTAGGTCTGCATTATTTGATCCAAACAAACTGTTAGTTTGATTGAGCTTTTAAAATCAGTTTTATATGAAAACGGCATTCGTGTTTGGTTCATGCCTTTCTAAAATTTCACTTAAAACTTGTTTCTAATTACTATATAAACCCGAATGTGGTTTCTCCCCCACGTTCCGTCATTCACGAATTAAAAAAAGTTGCGCCGTTTTTCTTTAGCCATTGCGTAATCGCCCAGCGTTTTTTCTCGCGTGCCTTAGGTTGTCTCGTCTTTTACTGCTCTTACGCCCTATCGGCCGATCTCGCCCCTCCTCTTCTCGTTGTTAATCTCTCTGACACTCCTATTCTCTTGCCATTATCTTCACTTCTGATTTGTTCGCACAAGATTTGGAATTTTTTTTATTATTATTTTTTATTTGGCATTTGTGCAATGTGATTTTCAAAATGAAAAGCTTTATACGAGATTACTATCCTATGTAGTTGATTTATGGAATTATGATGTGAGATTTTCAAAGTGCAAAGCTCCCTTCTGTTGTGGTTGAATTTGGTTATTTGCCCCTCTTTTTTGTGCGCGAGTCAAATGAACTATGGTGGTACTCCAAATTTGGCTTGTGATTCTACAATAAGCTTGTATGTTAGATATTTAAGAAGAAAGGTATATTTATTCTCATGCATCTTCGGATATCCTTAAATAATTGAGAATTAAAGTGGATTTGAGTCCGGAGTTTACAGTATCGAGTAAAGTATACAGGGTCACTGTAGAATCGCTCACAATTAAGGAAAAAGTTGAAAACAGGATCCACTGTCTTTGGGATGCAATAAAAAACACTATTGATGTATCAACAAATTGGTAGAGGGAGAAATTAGAGATAAAATCTATTTTAAGATATGCATATTTAATTTTTCGTAGCATTCAAACTTTTTATACATAACTTTTTCCTTTTCATTATATGAATGAGAGGTTGAGCCAAGTTCTAAAAAAATTAACTTTGGTGGAATCGAACCAAAGCTGAAGGAGAAGTTAGATGTTATATTTGGTAGGGTTGTTGCGACTGGTGAACAGTATTAGACTCTACAAGGTTCCAAAGAGCCCAGGTATAACCTGATTGATCGAATTTAAATATCACCACCAGACTTAAAAACATGGGCATGTTGTATAAAAAAAATTAGCCCTAGAAGCTAAATATCTGAGCTAGTTACAACATGCACGAATTTAACTTTTGACGCTACTAATGCACAACAATCTTCATCTACTCCTGATGTATTAAAAATACTTTAACCGGATATCGGAAGTTTTTGAAGATATGCCCTTGTATTTGTACTCATTGAAGCTAATTGAAGATCCGGTAAAGAGGGATGATTTCATGTTGATGGAATCAGAAAGGAGGGCCCATTAATTATGATTCTTCTATGAAAATCGCATCTGATTACTATTGTCAAGTTATATTTTGCGGGAAGTGCTCTTGATATTTTAGCATAATAACCAATTAGAACATTTTATTTTGCCTTTTTTTTTGGACCTGAACAATTGTTCTTATTCTATTTTCATGTTATCATTTATTTTTGACAAAATTGTTATTTATTGATGCTAGCACATGTCATGGGTAAACTTATGTCAACAAATGAACATACTATTATTATAAAAATTGTGATATTTTACTCTCGCATGTTATGTATGAAGTCAACATTTATCGGGAACAAATATGTCAATGAACTTCCTAAGGACATCCAAGTAGATTTTTTAACATATTTCGTATGAAACTAGTAATTTTTATTAATAGTTGAATGAACTGTACAATAGTCATAGTTTCGTTTGCTCCTCTAGAATAACTTTGAAGAAGGTATTGGCCATAACACTGTATATTTTAAAACACAATGAATTGAAAGGTTGGCATGCATGTGATATTTCTCTATTGGTTTAAATGCATTGAAAAGTGTGTCTTTCGGAGTTATTAAGCATGAAGTCCCTTCTTTTCAAAATATTCCTATAGAAATATCTTGTGATCCTAGATGTATGCCATACTTCATGGTATATGGAGATCTATTATTTTCTTTTTTTTTTGCATCAAGAGTAAAAAGAAAAACCTTTAAATATGAAACTATTACCATTTCATATAGGACTGTATTGGTGTATTGATGGCACACATGTTCATGCACGTGTGCCAAATGCTTAAAAGGTTGCATATATTAGACATTGTGGTTCACTTACACAGAGTGTGATGGCAGTGTGCGACTTCAATATGTGTTTTACTTTTCTCATGGCTGGTTGGGAAGATAGTGCTCATGAGAGTAGAATTTTCAAGTTCGATAAACAATCTCGTATGCATAATTTTCCACTACCGTCTCCAGTTTGGATAAATCCTCCTTAAACCTTATCTCTTCTTTCACATAGTAGCTCATGGTTGATTTTTGTAATAGGGAAATACTATGTAGTAGATGCCGAATATCCACAACAACAAGGATTTTAATCATAATTTTCTAACGCAAGATATCACATGCGAAACTTTGAGAGAGCTAATCAAGTAGTAGGGGGGTGAAAAGAAATGTTTAATAAGAGAAATTCATCACTGAAGGTGTGATCGAGAGGGCTTTAGGAGTTTGGAAGAAAAAATGGGTATATCTAATGGACATGATATCATATTCGTTTGAGAAATAGGTAAAAGCATGGGCATTTTGTATCATAACAATGACATTTATTAATTACATAAGACGTCCTCCTTCGCACTTGGACATTGACTTCACAAATGTCGATGATAACGAATTAGTGCCATCCGTAGCATATGAATATCATTTGGGTGAATCAATGATGTAAACTGATGATGAGATCAACAATGCCAGCGTTGGTGATGGAAAAGACATAGATGAGATGGCATTTCGAGAGTGTATCATCGACGATTTAGTTAATTATTGATTTCATATTGTATGCTTGATTATTGTTGATAACTCTCATAAGTCATTGTTGCAGAAAGATGACAGTGTAGATTTATTTTTTATTTCTATATAGTTTCATCTTCTAATGTTAAGAGGCACATTTATAAAGTTCTTTCTTATAAAATCTTTGTTGTATTTCATATTGGAATTTGCTGCAATGCTTTTTGGTTAAAGCAATAACAGCATTTATACTCAATTGCTTCCATTATACTCGGTTGCTACCATTTCTTTATCCTACATGTAAGAGCCTTTCACCTTTGTGTGATTTGATAGTAGGAGCATTATGGTGGATGTTTTGTTGGATGTTTGGACTTAAGAATTATTCTGTGTTTATTATTATTGTTTGAGCTATTCAAAATGTTTATTATAGTTGGATTTGTGGTCTTCGCAGTTTTATGCTATTTTATAATGGATATTACTTTAAAACTAATGAGTTTAATGTTGTTGCTGACTCTTCTATGCTATTCAAGAATTTCCCAAAATGACCATTCATCTTTAGCTAGATTTCTAATTAGGATTATTTACATACGTATAACTTAATTGCGGTGCTTTTATATATTTAACATTCAAAGTTCAAATATTACGTACATACCACATTACCTATGCAAGAAAAGGTTTGTTTTACCTTAGAAGTTTAAATGGTGATATTTTTAATTTTACATGAAAATTTTTGGTGGTATAAATGTAAACAGTAAAACTTAGGTTTTGGACCTTAAATACATAGGAATTGGTTGGTTTGTATGTAAATGCCCCCATCTAATTATATATTAGTGATGCCATCCACAAAAGAGGCTTTCAATTTTACCTTATTATTATTACCAACTGATGATTAATTACAACTCTAAGAAAGTTCAATTTGTTTGATTTTGATTTGAGAGCTCATGTATCAATACAGGTTCATGACCCTTTGTTGAACAGTGATTTTCATTTGTAGTACTTTTTTCCATTTTTTTAGTGTAAGAGCACAAAACGGCTCTATTTTTATTACCACAAAATAAAAATACAGAAAGGGTGGCCACAAGCACCTCTAAATCCCACAAAAATAAAATACAACACTCACGAAAAGGGAAAACCTAGGCGCCTGCAACCACAAATTAAAAATAATAATGACAACGAAAACAAAAAATAAAATAGAGAAACACTAAGACATACGAATATATAGGGAATCCATTAGATCACCCCTAACTAAACAAATAAGAACCTTAGGAAACTCAGTAGAAAAAATAGCTCTTTGAGTCTTCATCACTTGCTTTGCAGCCCAATCCGCACAGTTATTGCTTTCACGATGAATGAAGAGCCAACAAACCTGAATACCAATCATAAGAGCAAAAATTCTTTTTAAATGAATCATAGGATTCCAAGGATAGTCTCTGTTCATGCAATAAAAAGACCATAAATGAAAAGATTCCATTTCAATTTTTATAATATTCCAATCACATCTAATTGCGAACTCCAAACCCATAATCTCAGCCTCTGCTTTAGCTTCAATAGCACTTGAAACAAAAAATAGGTGCAAAAAATCACATAATAGATTTTCCAGAATAATCTCTACAAATACCATCAATACCTGCAACAGAATGATTCCAACTACCATTCGTATTAATCTTAATACACCCATAAAGAAGAGCAATCCACCAAACTAGAATAGTAGCAGGCGTAGATTTTCTAGGAAAAGCAATGTTAAATTTATGTAACATACACCTTACAAACGAATTACTGGAAGGCTTAAACTTCCCATAATTCAACAGCTTGTAAATATAACCTTTAATTTGATTAAAACCATTGGAAATAGAAAAAACCATACCTTCATGCTCACAAGCATTTCGAGCACACCATGGGAAGTGCAAAGAGAATTAGAAAAAATCTTTGTAGTTGACCAACCCAACCTTCCTTTAAGCTTGACCTTATCATGTCCCTGATTAATAGGAATTTTAGCAAAACTAGCCAAATCCTCCTTATTAACCAAAATAGCAAGCATATTAGCATTCCAACCA